CACACACACACACACACACACAGAGCTGCAATCTGAGGAATTACACAACGCTTTGGCTGATACACTCCAGATGTCCTGAGAGCAACGCAAACACTCCCATGCACGATAGTGGCCCCTGTTATCAACGAGAGCTGGAATCCACAGTGACGACGCAGCTTGTTTTGAGCACCGCTTCTATTTAATCTTGAATTATAGCTGAATCCACTTAACACTGGATGAACAGTGAGCCGGGCAATGACAGATGTTCGTGAACGAGCGGCTCAGAGATTCCTGGATTGGTTGGTTGGATGAATCAGAAGAATTGATTCAGTGAGGTGTTGGTGTTTTTAATGTTTATCTTTGTCTGAGTCTACCACGGGTCTGTTTTCCACACACAAGGATTCTTCAGAGACTTGAATAACTGCAGACACTCTTCGACAAAAATGTGCGTCATCATCATCCGTCAAAAACACACAGTTTCTTCATAAATTCCGATAATGCTTCCTCTATTCCGCTGCCACGTTTCTGCTGATATGCTGTAAGAACAAAGAGAATTTGTGTTTTCCCACTGAAGATAGTGTCAAAACGAAAGAGGAACCTTGAGAGGAGGAATTCAGAACAGAACAGGCGTTCACCAGATGTGTGCTTTTAGTGTGAAGCTCTTCATATCACAAATAACTGTAAAGTGACGCCTGTGGTTTAACTCACTTCTAAGTAAGTTGGCGTGGAACATAGATACATATGTGGTCTGTTCACACACACATGTATGTGCTGGATGAAAAGACAGCTCCCCCAAAATTAAGCCAAAGCGTCCCAATCCCCACTAAACCCCGCCTACTCCATGTTAGTAGATTGGACAGGTACGAGGTCGTATCCGTGATGATTTGGCTTCATTTCTGTTTAGTGGAAGGAAGTGGAGACATGTCGTCCATCTTTATTTTCCAGTCAATGGTTGTTTTTCTGTATCTCCAGATACAGTTGAAGGAACAAAGAGGCGGTAAATACTTTAACACAATGTGTGATATAAATACTGACGATAACTGCATGTACTGTCCAGAGATACCCGCTCACCATCAGTCATTTTACTCTGCTGTGTATAAGTTCTAGAATCAGAACAGATGGTTTTGGTTACACTCTGTTTTTCAACACTTAGACGCCTCTTTCCTTCGAACCTGTTGCTTTAGTCAGCAGCCGACTGATTCAAAATAACTCACAACTCATGACACAGATGACACACATGGTGAGTGTGTGAGTGTGTGTCTGCTACCTATGTTTCTCAATGGGAGGTCGCCCTGGGGCGTTTCTGCCCAGACAGATACGACACATTCCTCCACAAACCGAGAAAGAAAAAGACTTTATTGTCCACGCAGCCGGTGGAGGCTGATTCCCCGTCACACACATTTAAAGAGGACAAAGGCTCTGGGGTCGTGTGTTGTCCTCAGACGAGGTCAAAACGAGTGTGACATCGAGTCTTCACGGGCGTGAGCTCAAAGAATCACATGACTGCATTTAAAGTTGAATAAAGGGTCTCGTGACTCTCAGGACACTCAGGATCCTGAGCTGTCGCTCAGTTTGATTTTTAGACATTTGATGTGGCGAGAAGTGAATCATGGGTTTTCTACATCGGTCTGATTTTTTCTTTCTTATATCAAAAGATTCTGCCAAGTTCTTACACTAGAGGCAATAAAATGTAGAGTTCCTCCAGAGCAATAGAATTAATTCAGAGGTAATTTAATCACGTTTAAGTTAATTTAACAATCGAGTTAAAGGGATTGTTTTCTGGACACGAGGCTGTTTTTTTCCCCCCGAGAGCTTTGAGATGTGAACGCTGCTGTAGGCTCCATTATTATTTCATGAAATAAAGTGTTTCAGCTGGTTCTTGTGAGGCTACAGTCGGTGTCATGATGTGATGGTTTGAAATTAATAATAATCAGTCTGTGGTCCTAGAGTGAAGTGCTAAAAACTTTGCGTTCATCCAACCTGGTTTATCTGCGATCAACCGGATTCTGGATTCAAATGATGTTTGAGGAATTATTAGAGGTATAAATGTATTATTTGATATAAGTGATGTTTTTATATGTAAAGTAGATGGTATCCACAGCTGTTGTGTAAATGTTACAGTACCTCGTCCTGTCCCCGTAATGTAAAGTACAGAGAAACCTCAGAACTGTGCTTCGTCACATCTTTTCCAGCTCCGCATTTAAATCATAGTAACTGATCCTCGAGCAATAAAACGTAATGTGATGATTTTATGGTATTGCCTCTACGTTCAATAACGATAAGTGAAATATGACTCGATAACACAGATGTCGCCAGGTCTGGTCTACACCTTCGTTATTTTTATGAAACAGGTTATTTAGCCATAAAACCGAACATTCTTTGTGATAAGGTTTTGCTTCCAGCCGACACTCGTCACATGAAGCGTGGAAAACCCCAGAAGCAGCGATCTGCAAAGAACAGAGGAGTGATTTCGTTTTTTATGTTTTCATAACTGAAAAGCTAATTAGGCAAATGGGCTAATCTCCATTTAACTTCCTTCATTTCCCCAAAATGCTTCTCATTAAGTCACGACACCAGCAGCATTATTGCCCGATAATATGTTTTACTCTTTATCTCTCGATCTGCCTCCCTCCCTCCCTCCCTTCCCTTCCTTCCATCCGTCCGTCTGTCAGCGAAACACTCTTATAGCCAACTGCAGCCGTCCCAGGTGGGTTTCTATATGTGTGTCTGAGAGGCGCTGGGTAATTAACGTCACATGTTCTCGGTGCATGTAGATGAACTTGTCAGGGGCTCACACATGTCAGAGAGCAGTGAAAGTGACACGGTGTTTATTGCTTTGCCCCGAAGTCACCGGAGAGACGTGTGGAGTGAGTGTCGCTTGACAAAGGGCCTTTTTCCTCCCAGACCTCTCAGGTGCAGACGTTCGGCTGTTCCGACTCGGAAAAACGCTCCTTTCTGTGTTTGCTCAAGTGTAAAGTTCCCTCGACGGGGATCACGAACGTATGGCGACAAATTTCTCGTGGCAAGATTTAACTTTTTACAACTCTAAGCTCATCTCATTTTCCACGGAGAACAAAAAGACTTCGACCCTCAGAGCAACTTTAAATGTTGACTTCCTTTTTTCAGCTTCTCCAACGATGAAGCACTGAGCGTTCACCAAATCTGCTTTCATCCTTCAGGGTCTCTGAACAGTCTGTCTAAGAGAAAGGAAGGAGGGTGGAAAAAATCAGTGTTACCCCCCCCCCTGTCGGATTAAAGCTTCCTAAATGAGAACAAATTCCACCTCCTCCACGTCTCCGTTTTAATTTCCCAGCAGGATTGTTGCTGCTGCAGCTTTGTATCTGCACGGCCGAGGTGAAGGATGAGGATATTCATACTCGCTGCTTGGCCCAATTTTTTTTTTTTGAGTTTTTGCTGCTCTCAGTATGTGTGTATGTGTGTGTGTGTGTGTGCGTTTGAGATCCCTCTGGTTTTAATAGGATTTGCTTAAATACTTATTCTCAATTTTGGGAAGTGTTATTCATCGTTGTACTTCAGGCTTCCCAAGCAACTCTCCAAGTTTGGCTGCGGTGTTTGTTTTGAATTGAAAGTATCTGATTAACAGTCGTGTCATGTGAAGGTGGATCTGTGGCAAATGATCGCTTCTACAAATATGTAGAGTGTGAGTGTGTGTTGTGAGTGGACTTAAAGTGTGCGAGAGGATGGAGTCTAGTGAGTGCTCGGAGGTCTGATGAGTAATCCTGCAAACACTGACGAGTGTGTGTGTGTGTGAGTAAGATTCACAGAGATGATGTAGGTTTTTTCGGTGAATACGGGGGAGGTGAGAAACGGGGACGGATGGACTGGTGTGTGGGTGTGTGTGTGTGTGTGTGTGTGTGTGTGTGTGTGTGTGTGTGTGTGTGTGTGGCAGGTGGCATTGTAGTGTTTGTGCTGTTCACTGACTGAAGTGCAACACACAAGCACACGCATGCACACACACACACACTCACCATCTGCAGCCTCCCAGCAGAGCTCAACACAACTGGTCATACGAGTTCATCACCTCAACAACACAGAAACCACCCGTGTGTCCCAGAATCTGAACATCAGAGCCTCCAGCTCTGTGTGTGTGTGTGTGTGTGTGTGTGTGTGTGTGTGTGTGTGTGTGTGTGTGTGTGTGGTAGTA